CTGTCCTTTCTTTGGTGACAATACTGATGATGAAGGTATTTTGTAGACAGTGAGTATCAAGAAGCTGTCTCTAAAATGTTGTCCTGGCATGTTGTTAGTATGGAAATTGGCTTACACCCAGACGCCTTATGGATCTTTCAAGATCAATGGATGGGCAAGGGAGCAAAAATGTGAAATGCAGGTGTGTGCTTGTGCGTGGTTTGCCTGACATTACCCTCATCTCCTGTACTTCCATGACTGCCTGGGTGGCTTGCAGAAAAGCTGAACCTGGGGCTGACTCAAATCCCACCAGCCCAAGGGAGAGTTTATTTGCAGAAGAGTTAGGCAACAGTTCCAGCCTTGAAGTCAGATGCTCAAGTCCATGTTCAGGCCTATTGATAAAAAGTATAATTTAATAGTTGTCTCTTGCCACGCATATTTAGTGTGTCATGCAAACATCTCAGGACCACAGTGGTTCAAAGTGGTTTGAAGGCTCCCAGCCGCTTGTATTGGTGGCCTGGCAATACATTGTCTTGGCCAGGTAGGTAGGCAGTGGCCCAAATTGAGATAGGGAGCAGTGATCACACTGAGTTTGCATGGATCAAGTTGCTTCTCTGACTTCAGAACTGTATTATTGCTTACTATTTGGCCTGTGATAGCACCCAGAAGCTGGATGTGCTGGTGGAGCATGGTAGTGCCAGGATGAGGAGAAGGAAAAGGAGGAGGAGGAGGAAGAAACATCTTCTCCATAGAACCTGCAGTCCCAGATGCTTCACTTAGGTCTGAGGGAAATAAAATGAATGTCTGTGGCTTGGTGAAAATGCCCTTTGCTTCATGCTACCTGCTTTTGGTGGATGTACCCAAGACAAACCTCTACAACATGAATTTCAGAGAGCAAACCAGAAAATCTGAAGTTGAGGAAATAAGGGAGAATCTCATAAACCCAGCCTGTTTTTAGAAGATCCTCTGTGGAGGAAACAAGTCTAATTAAAACCAGACTTCATTGTTGCAGTAACCCACCATTTCACATGTGACCCTGGGAGTCTTCCACTTCTCTGAGTTTGTTAAATCTTGTTATTAACTACCTGAGTCCTGCTTAATTTCAGAGTCAAGTGTGAATCATATACTCCCTCCTCCATCATTTCTTACTATTTTCAAGGCTCAAAATGAACACTGCACTTGTTAGAGAGCTCTGCTCCTTAATACTCATTTTTAGAGAGCACTAACTTACTATGATTTAATATCTCTTGGTAAGTGTAGGCTCGGTGATTTTGTGTGTGCTAATCTTCACTTAATCGTTTACCACTGCAAATAGCACAAGGGAAAAGATGTTTTGGAAGAACAGCCTAGCTTGGAAATTGTGCTTTTTTAATTACCAGCTGTGAAGAAATCCGTTTTTCCACTAGTTGACTTGCATACTTTTTAGTGGTATAACAGGTTCTGAGGGGAGATCGCCGCCGCAGATAACAACATGAACTTTCCCTTCTCAGGAAGCAAGTGCATGTTGTATCTATAAGATTCTCCTAAATGCATTCTCTTACAGCTACTCCCTTTGTAGCAAGTGAAGTTGAGGGGGTTTGGTCCTTTCCTTTAACAGCCTCTACACTTTGCAGGCTTTAAATTGCTTTCAGAAAGGATCAGGACAGGAGGTACACCTCTGGGCATGCCTCTGCTTCCCTTCCCTTCTCTGCTCTACCACACTTCACCAGAGCAGCAGATGGGAGCAGCTAACATGGTTGGCAAAAGGGCAGAAATCCTTGCTATGAGTCCTTGCCAAAAACATCTCCTTACTATATTTCAGTCTTACACAAGCTGGCACCATGAGTATCTCCAGTGTCATCATTCAGAAATCATCAGCAACTGCATGCTGAGATGCTCAAGGGTTTGGATGCACCACCTGGACATTCATGCAGCAAGGGACCATAACGGCAGGGGAGGGGAGCAGCAGCCCCCTCACAGAGAGGCACTCGATTCCAAAGACACCTCTGTCCTTGCTTTTGGAAGCTAACAGGGAACTGTGGGATCAAAGAGAAGGTTTGCAAGGTCTTGAGAGACTTGTTAAAACGCGTAGCTCTGAACCTCTTCCCGCAATGTGCTGTCATGGGACTGGCTTGGGAAAAGAGCTGAGAAACAAGTGGGAGGAGAGCATGAAGGGCTAGCCTGGGGATGGGATGGTCCAGCCTGCAGGTTTCCCACTGTGACTGAAAGCAAGCAACAGAGATCTTCTCCCTGTTACATCAATTAGGACCTTCGCAGAGCTAGTGTGTGCTGTGCACCTCAGCCCCCCACATCCCTGCCTTAGCAGGGCCAGCAGAAGTGACAACTGCAGGCAGGGTCAGCGCATCAGGAGCAGCCAGGAGTGCTGCATGAGGCAATAGTGCTTGCTGGAATCACCACTTCTCTGCTGCTAAGCTTCCTTGCCAGATGGCACTGCCTTGGCACAGCACCATCAGGGCACTTGTGGCCCCTGGCCTGCTGTGAGCGGAGCTGGTGATGAGCGTGTGAGCACATTACTCATCAGCACAAAGCTTCTCTTTCTATTCCCCTTGTTTGGGTATGAGCAGGCTGCAAGACCTATCAAACCTCAAACCCCTAACAGTGAGTTGCAGAGCTTCTGATTTCCACCCTTTGCTAAGGAGATCCCCTGAGCCTTGGTCAAAACTTCCTCACTGGTGCAAGAGCTCCACATCTTCCCACTTTTATTCAACCTGTCAGCAGCATCTCCTACCCTCAGACATTTGAGTTTAATTACCCTGAATTTCATCACAGAGCAAATTTTGCCTGGCTGACACTTTGAAAGGGGCAAAACTAAATACCGCAGGTCACAGCCTGTGGTACCTGATCCACCCTCCAGATTTACCTCCTTTTCCCCCTCCCTGTTATGCTCTGTTGGTGTTGGATCCTGCCTGGCTATATCTTATGGAAACTTGGTTATTAATCAGATTTTGCAGTTTGAGGGGGAGAAATAACGTTATGAATTGCAATCTAAGGAAGGTTGCAAACACAAGTGGGCTAGCAGAGAGCTCTTGCTGTGCTTGTAAAACCACCAATACCATTTCTCTTCAAAGACACACTTGTACTTCCTCTGCTGCAACTTCTCACACTGCTCAAGTTCCCCAGGGGAAGTGAAAAAGAAAACTCAGAGATGCAGATCAGGAGTGAGAGATGGCTGTACCACTGGCACAATTTGGGGATCTTGGAGCATAAAGCACATATAATGCCCACATGCTTCTCTGAGTTACTACCATTACTAGCCATCCAGAAATGTGAAGTAAGTTAAAGAGTAAACTTAAACATTAAGAGCTCTTACAGTCAAGTGAGCTAGTTAATAAGGAAAGCCTTCAACTAAGGAGAAGCATACATTACAGTTGAATGCTAGTGCTGATAGAGTAGTAGATGAAAGTTGGACCTGAATTGCATTCATGGTTTCCCTTGGGCTAGAGGATGCAGGAGATGGGCATGTCACAAGAGCAGTGAGAAGAGGAGGGTGCCCATATCACCCTGACCTGTCCATGGTGGGAAACAGTCCTGACATTTACGTCTCCATGCTCTCTAAACTGTGGTTGTCAGCTGAGCAATACCTGACTAACACATACCTGAGGGATGCTAGAAGAGGTTTTCACAACAGGACTCAAACAGCCTTGCCCAGGTTACATTTCTGTAACTGGTTTGGGCCTTGGTTTGTTAACCAGCTCTCACTGAGTGCAACACTTAAGTCACACCATTGTGGCACTGAGGCATGAAGCCTTTGGGATTAGAAACCTACAGCTTCCCCAGGTGTTCAGCTGTCTGCATGCCTACATCAAAAAGGGCAGCCTTTTGCTAGCTTTTCTTTCTTTCCTTTATTTATTTATTTTTAAACTGTTGTCAGGACTATTCCTCCCTGACATCCTAGCTGTGAGACCAGCAACAGCATTAAGTCTATACTCTGATGCTTGGTCAAGTCCCATCCTGCCACAGCCTGAAGCAACATGCTACTCTCCACTAAGAACTCAGCTCAACTCCTACTAACCTGTTGTGGGCAGGACCGTTAGCTCAGGATCATCAGGCCACAGAGTCTCCTTTGTAGAATGTTTTGGGTTGGACAGGACCTTAAAGCTCATCCAGTTCCAACCCCTGCCATGGGCAGGGATGCCTTCCACTAGAGCAGGTTGCTCCAAGCCCTGTCCAGCCTGGCCTTGAGCACTGCTGGGGATGGCACAGCCACAGCCTCTGTGGGCAACCTGTGCCAGTGTCTAGTGGAAAATTTCTTCCTTATATCTAATCTAAACCACCCCATCAGGTTAAAGCCATTCCCCCATGTCATGTCTTTCCTGAGCCTTCCCACCCAATCCATGGAAACGCATAGTAGGCTGACTTTCTCAGAGGTGTTTCTTACTCTGCTGGGTCATGCATTCAAATGCCAAAATTGTGATTCATTAAAAGGGCAAGCTGGGGCTGGGGGGGTGCAGGAAGGAAGAGAAATAGCTTGCAAAATCCTTCCTGTTTACCCATGGCTTGGGAATAAAAACAGCACAACAGAATATACACACCCTGGCTCCATTATCTTCGTTGGCACAGCACTGGCTTGGCTCTGTCCCTCTCCCCTCCAGGCCAAATCCAGCCCTGCCGCGAGCGTGTTTACTTGAGAGGAGTTTACTCGAGAGAGAAATCCATTCCCCGAAGCCTGAATGCTCACAGTGTGCGAGCGAGCGCACAGGCACCCGGAGCCCCCGTGACAATGTGGCTCTGGCCCCTGGCCACACCAGGGAGGTCATTTTCTTCTCAGCAATTAGCAAAGTGGTGGCATCACTAAAAGAAGTTGAATAAACACATTCAACCCGGCTAGGTCCCTGCTTTGCTCTGTTCTCACCACCCTTCCTTCTGGGCACACGGTGGGGCCCCAGTGAGGAAGAGCCCAATGTACTGTGCTTTCATTCAGGCCTGGTTGGAAAGGGCTTTTAGGAAAGAGGAGGAAGGGGGAGGGATAACCCTTTAGCTTTCTTCTTTTACAACAAATGTCTTCCTTTTTTTCTTTTCAGGGAAGAAAAATGCCAGCTTCTCTAAGAAAACTGCAGCAAATGGCTATTTTCATGGGACTGTTCAGCGGCGGGGGATGCATCGTGATGTATAATCTTATGCAAAGTAAGCCTTGCTGCTGTTAGCAACCTTATTTCTCCTCTGCCCCTTTCATTTGCTTTTGTGTAGCGGGGAAAATAGCAGCATGCAAGACATGAAAAGCAGATGAAGTGAAGGGAAGTGTGGCTGAGACTCTGGGTTCTGCTTCTGTGGGCTCCGCTTTGTTCAGCTTCAGAGCTGCTGCTCTCCCCAGTGCTGTTGCACACATTTCCAGAGGTATTGCTTAGGGAGGAGGCTGTCATGGTTAGGAGAAAGTCTGGTTTCTGAGGGTGAGGGCAAAATAGATGCTTAGGCAGTAATGCAGGTTTCATTTCTTACTGAGATTTTACAACTGGGGAGGAAGAGAGGACCGTCTGTGAGAAGGTATTAATGTCTAGTGGTTTTATCTGTAAATCTCTGTGGGGCAGGCCCTAAACACAGCATGCCTGTGAAGTGCTAAGACACCATTAGTTTCTCCTGATTGAAGGGCAGATAAGAGCGCTCAGTATCAAGAAGACTAGGACAAGGAAAGAAAAGCTAGACAGGCAACATTGCTATATATAGGCAGCTCTAGTTGCTGTGCGTCTTAGACCATGAATACGAGTTATTAGTCCAAATGACAGATTCTTATTTTATCTAGAATTGTTTCTAGATATTTAGCATCAGACCAGAAATGGGCTTTGCCTCTCTCAGGGGGTGCTACATGCCTCTCAGCCCTATGCCTGTCCCTTGCTGGAGCTATCAAATGATACTGCTTTTGACCTACCCCTGTATCAGGTAGGTCAGGTACCCCTGCTGCCAGAAAAGCGTAGCCAAGCCTGTTCCTCAAGCCCTCAGATAAGCTCTGAAACCTCCCCTTCATTTTACACTTATTAATAGCAAATCAGACAAGGCTGGAAAGCAGGCTTTAATTTTAGGCAGCTCATGCCCTCAAGCTCTGGAGTACATGACAGATATATGATCCTCTTACGCTTAAAATACCAAATCTGGCTTTAACAAGGACATTAGCATTTTTTAATTTTCAGCTTCAGCATTGTTATCTGGCGAGGGGGAAGTCACCCCCTGTACTATACACAAGTCAAAGGGCTCATTCCCCAGATCACTTAGCTGTGCAATCAAGTGGTGCAAAACAACAGCTAAGTCTTGCTCTGTTGTGGTGTCCGTGGCCACTGAGTAGCTGTCTGATACAAACCAACCAGGCTGTTGAAAGGACACTTGCTAGTGCAAACTGTGCACCTCTGTAGCTTCTAACAGACAAAGGACACTTTTATTGGCCCACACCCATGGCTATCCAATTCCTTCTACCCAGTGCACAGAACTGGCCCATGCTGGAGCCTGTGAGGAGTAAGTGGCTTCCATTATGGTGGGAGCAGGGGAAGAGGGGGACTTCTCTCCCTTAAGGTTGAAGGAAAGCTTGTATATGTGTGATCTCTGTGAAAGCAAGCAGTCAGGTAATCCTATTTCTACTCACTGTGTTCCCCTCCACACTCTCCTTGTGGGAGCAGTCTCCCAGGCCAACCCCAGGATTGTTTCAGCTCTCCTACTGAAACACACATGGACAAACAGATTAGTCAAGCATTTTATGTCCAGTACTAACAAGAAACAGCTGAGAAGGAGCACCAGGAAACTGAAACCTGTTTTCCCTTCAGCCTGTAGGATGAGTGCAGCATACTTCTGACATCTCCTGGATGGCTGCTTGCCATGATCCATAGGCACTAAATGACTCCTGTGCTGCAACCCCTTTACCTGGAGCTCCTTAGGGTAGCCTAGGGGACCAGGGAGGACCAGTGCAGGCTGCAGGCTAGTAAAGCTGTTCCCATGCCAACTGAATGCTGCCTGCTCACAGGGAATGCCTCTAATTAGGGAGTGGGGGCAGCATCCTTCTGCCTCATGCTCCAAGAGTAATACAGGCAAGAGAGCAGGAAACAAACCTTACACTTAGTTTTAAACTCTGTGGAAGGCAAGAGCAAAGTTGCCTGAGTAGGATTTTGATATGTTTGGGTTAACTCTGCCCTTCTTGATCTCAAGAGAGTGAAGTTAGGCTGCAGCAAAGTGCATGTAGAAATCCCAGCAGGCAAGCCTTAAACCTGTTTATCAGTAAATCTCTGCCTCCATAAGGAGGGTCGGCAAGTTTCCAGCCTCACGGCTCAGCATTGTCCATTGGTGACCATTGCACAGCATTTCCCAGCTATACCTATCAAACAGACATTGATAAATAGCAATTTACCACAATTGTCCTCCATATGCCAACACTGCAGCATCCAGTCTGCTTAGCTATTGTTGCTGCTTGACCGTTAACTCTAATGGTGCTTCTCTAATGGCCTCTCTTTTAATGCATCCATCAGTAGAGTTGCAGCTTCCTGGCTGCCACTTGAAAAGCTGTTATCAAGACCACAGCAAGAGTTTCACAGTATTAGCAGCTGTTCCAGTCTCACACTAATGTCTGCAAAATATTCTCCATTCTTAAAGTATTTTCTGAATCTCCTTTGAAAAGAAAACTTGAATTACCTTCAGAACATTTTCACCTATTCACCCTTTGCCTTATTTTACCCCCCTTTTTCTGTTCTTTTTAGATGAGATACAAATGTATGAAAAGCAGGGAGGCACAGCCACAAGCCGAACTGTGCATCAGTACAGAACAGGCTATATTCAGAGTCCTCTTTACTTAAGTGAGCTGAGCACTGCTTCTCTGATGTAAGGGTGTGTTTCTTCCCTTAGCCAAATTTCTCTTAATTAATAGTTTTGGACTGTTTTTCAGGAAGGGTGGGATAGTCTGGAGGAAATGTCTTTTTTTAAGTCATTTTTACTTATTTTTGGATTTTAAGTGAACAGTTCTCCTAACGACCCCGTTTCTCCCACCCAGAAGGTTTTGCCAGGACCCAGTACTACCAGCAGGCTTTGGAGCAACTGAATAGCAGTCCTGATGCCCTGGAAGCCCTGGGTGCCCCCCCTCTCAAGGTTCACAACATCCGACTGACAGATGGGAGTAACCGTGTGGACACAGAAAGAGCACAGGTAATGCTGGGAGGTGGTGTCACAGGGTGGCTTCCCAAGGCATTGGGTGACGAGATCAGCTGGGGGATTTGCAGCAGGTCACGAGTTACCTGGGGACACTGGAAGGCAGTAGGATGGGATGCGAGTTGATTTAGAAGACGAACAGGTTTCTAGAGCATAAATTACGCTCCAGTATGGGGGACTAGATACAGGACGAGCAGCATCTTTATGTTATGCTCTGTGGGCAGATCACAGAATGCCAAGTGACCTCCCAAGTCAGTCGATCCCCCTCCTGCTACTGTAACCCAGAAAAATCATTTTCAGAAACATATCAGATCTAGCTTTAAAATAGCAGCTGCCTCCCCCTCCCCCTCCCTCTCCCTCCTGGATACATCCCACACTATTTTTTAAAGCTTTGTTCAGAACAGTTTTATAGCTGCCTCTGAGCTACGCTGTGGTGCAGCACAAACGGGGTGGTTTTTAAAAGCACCGTAAGCCTATGCCACGAAGCACAGCTGCCAGGGCTGAGCACTTGGGTTACGTAGTGACTGGAGAATGCTGTGCTGGGTTCTGAAGTATTGCACAAGTCTGCCTTGCATCAGCCCAGGGCTGGGCCAAGGCAAACCTCACAAACACAGGTCCACTTCCACTCTGGCTTGCTGCCTGAAAAGACATTTTCCATCAGTGCTTTTACCCCTTAATCCAGGACTTCCCTAGTTTTGCTGGTGACACAGAACATCCCTAGTGACCTCTTCAGGTCCCTCACTGGGGGATCTTGTCACATTTGCCTCATTTTGTTCCTCCTGGTGAGTAGTTTTGAGTCCTGGGGACCAAACAAGGACATTAAGGAATGGGGCAAATGGTACAGCAAAGAAGAGGGGCTGTCAGGGCAAGAAAAATCAACCTTGAAACCAACCCATGTAAAATTCCACTTTCCATCTCACTCCAGCCAGGCTTCACCCACATGATACCTGAGCCAAAACATTTCCCAGTTTCCCAGGTATTCAAGATTCTATCAGGAAACATTTCTAAACCCATAAATGTGCAAAACCCACAACCTCTTATGCTGAATGAAAAGAAAAGAACCTGTCCCACCGACGTTCTCCTGTGTCACTGTTTAAGAATGCTGGTTGCTTGGGTGACTCAGGGTGAAGTCAGACCCTGCCTTCTGCCGACCTCACCCAAGACACGAACCACCAACTTTCTTCTCTGCTTTTTCATGCTCCTGAGCACTCATGTTCTTGTGAAATAAACTGGTTAATCATCATTAGTGATTATATCATAGACTGATTTACTGACTCCAGAACATCCCCAGCTCCAGGGCCTGCTGGAGAACCCCTGGCATTTTCTCTTTGTGATTGCAATACCACCAGCAAACATTACACCTGAAACCTTTCTCTTATTCAAAGATTAGACCAAGTACAATTACCTGTGGTCAATCCTATAGCTTCTAACTTTGTTAAACAAGAGATTAGTAGAATTTGTGACACCGAGAAAAGTCACTGAGCTCCCGATTGCCTTGATTAACATCAAGGAGCTGATCTATAGAGGCTCTCAACCTACAGGTTTATTGTGGTTATGGGAAGCTCTAACAGTGCAGGTCACCTCTGGATCACCATGCACTTTGGTAAGGAAAGGTGTTTGCTCATAAATATTTCAGAGAGCAAGTGGTTTTCCCTGGGGGTTGCAGCTGTAACATTCTTTCAGCAGAGAGAGATTAATGCATGGCAGAGCAGGCGTACTTGTATAGCCACGCACATGTTAGCCATTAGAAAACACAGTGAAACTCTGAAATACAGTAAAAAAATGACACTAGAGTTTAAGGTAAAAAGAAGGTGTTGCATCTTTGACTGTAAAAGGAATAAGTGTCCATTTCATGACATGCTCCACTGAATCTTTGACATACTTTTACATTTGCAGATAAAGTTACCAGTATCTGGAACAAAATCAGCGGGGTACCTCTACATTAACTCAGAGATGGACCATTCCCGCCAATGGTGCGTACTGGTGGGGGGGGTACCAGGAGAGAAACTGTAGGAGAAGAGAGTGGAGCAGGATATTTGCTTTAGTCATCCGTGTTGCTGAGCTCATGCACACAAAGGAAGCAGAAATTCATGTCTGAAGATCTTGTGAAAGGTTATTACCATCATTACAGCAAAAATGTAAATTAGTTGAGAATTACATTGAATTCATCCCCATGAATACAAATAGAAGGAACAACACAAGCCATTCATTTGTGTGAAACGTGTTCTGCAAACTATAGCTCAGTGTACATACAAATACTGTGAGCCAAGGTAACATTGTCCCCAAGGAGGCACAGAAGCCATTGAACAGCAATCCTACCTCCAGTCTAGTATTATGTATTGCAGTAAGGAAATTACCCATTATATCAAAGCCTATCAAGGTGAGCTAAAAGTCATGCAGGATGGCTGTGTTTTTTTTTTTTCAAGCCATATGATAAATACTGTCCTTATAGTAACAAAGCATGTGTTAGATACATTATAGTAGAGGGATAGTCTGATTCCACATCATATAGTGGCAACTTTACATTTTTGTAGTGCTGAAGCCTGAAAACCCCCTTTGTCAAGGGTAAACTGATTTCTAGAACCGAGCAAATAATTACATGACTTCGAAGTCCATCTTCTGTTGCAAAAGAGGAGAGTTTATTAGACACAAATCTGTTCACATGTACTTGTTATTGGAATTTGTTAGGCATTTCTGTTAGCTCTATTTAGAAACCCAAAGCTACAACATTTTTACTCGGCTGTCACCAGCCATATGGTAATGTTTTCTTTTCGTAATTAGATGATCATTACTTAATAGACTTCTCTTCTGGATAAGTATGGGAAATTAGGTGTAAAATGATGGGAAGAAGGTGCTAGGCTGGGACTTCAGAGTCTCAGGGCCAGGTCTTCTCCCTTGTGACCAGAGATACTGCCAGAAGTGCCCAGCCCCCTCTCTTGCACGCCTATGCTTCCCTGGGGCCTGGGCTCTGATGTCCTCACTGCTCCTTATCCCTTCCCTCACAGATGGAGGGAAATAACAGTTCCCTCTTGCGTTACTGAGTTACTGTGAAGACAACTGAAGATTACAAGATGTTAAACTACAGCAGTAATTGAAGTACATACACCTCTGAGTGTTGTTTTACAGTGAGCTCTCCATGCATTTCTGCAAGCTTAAAAGGAGGGGAATAAAAAAACACCCATCAGACTCAGCCATGTTGCTTACACGTGCAGAGCTCCACACAGCTAGGCAGAACTTGGTGTCCTTGCTGAGGAGCTAAGAGTGAGATGTCTCATTCCCATCTGGTCCATGGAGAAGAGCTCCTGAAGTCCCAGTAGGAATAACAAACTCATCCTGGTGTGGCTCTGCAGGGCATGCATGTTGGCATTTCTAGTGGAGACCTGGGAGGCAGCCAGGCTGATACGCACACAGTCAAATGACAGCAGGTGGTGAACACACTGCTCTGTGCAAGAGGGGTTGAGGCTCCTAAGCCACTGAATGCTGCTGTCTGAGTGCACAGTCTGTCCATAGTGATTTATTTATTTAGGTAGTTAAAGAAGAGGACAACTGAGGAAAAAGGGAAATATGGAGTGTATGAGCTGGTTTGGATCTGGAAGAGGAGAGGAAGCATGCACTGCACAGGAATGGGGAAGGCGCCCCGAGGCAATAGTGACCAAGGCACCAGTCCTGCAAAATGACACTTGTCTGCCCTGAAGCAAATGGAGGGAAGGGCTGGGACTCCATGCCGGACTGAGGGGAGTGAGCAGTTACTCCTTCAAGCCCTGTTATAAAAGAGGCAGTTGCTTCTCCCAAGTCAGATGGAGGCAGAGGGTTGGTGAGCAAAAAACCCTGTTGCAGACCCATTGCACAGCCTCATTACCCAGTTGTGTGTACTCGGCACTGATTCCAGCAAAAGCAGAACTGGGTGAGTGCCAGGAGCTTTGGAAAAAAAAAATCCTATCTTAGTGCCCCAAAATAATAGTCCTTCCCAGCTGGAAAAGCAGCATGAGCAGTCTCACAGAAGTGGGTTTGAAGCAAGGCTTAGAGAAAAGAAAAGGCTCCCACTCTGTCTCCAAACAACACAGTTTTCCTTCTCCTTTGAGTAACCACTGTCATACTCTGTCAGGGTTTCAGCAGTCACACTGAGTGATCACACAGTGTTCAAACTCCTCCAAGCCAGGATAATTCCTTAGCAACGCAGTCTGGCTCCAAGGCTGGAGAGGAGTGGAGCAAGGAATGCACCCACAGGATGGATAGGAAGAAAGGCACAGGGTCGGGGGAGGAATGTCCTATCTAAAAATAGCTGGCAGGATTTTATCCAAATTGCATCCAATAAGAACACGCATCCCCGAGCTCTAAATCTGGGCTGTGCTATGCTATTAGGGAAAACAGCTTTCAGAAGCTGGCACTCACAAGCCAAGTTTTAAAGCACTTGAGAGAATCTTTAAAAGCAATGAATGCATGGAATTGTTTCTCCGTGCCAGCTGTTTGTACTCTGACTTTACTTACTGTATTAACAGTGATTGAAACAAGTTAAAAATCTCTTTTGGTTTGTGTCAGCTGGTGCCTTCAGGATGTCACCTTGAAACTGCGGGACGGGCAGATTATTCGTGTTTACCACTCCCCAGTGGAGAGCATCAGTGTGCAAGAAGCCTAAAAATCAAAAGCAGCTGCTTCTCCACCTCCCACTGAGCTGAAGGAGTCATTAATCGATCGCATCCCACTGTGCCCATGGATGTACACAGTTGTCACAAGTGACAATTCCACTTAAGTGGGTGCTCTTCAGGACAATTTATCTGAGATTGACCTCATCATTGTAATTTCTTTCTTTTGCTGGTTTACTCATATGTTCAGCAGAGCCTAAAATAAAGATACTGCAAAAGACTCGCTGTTCCAAAGAAGTCATGTGCTATTCCCTGTGTGTGCTGGGATTATGAATCTGAAATATAACAAACAAACTGCCAGGGTGGTGGGTTGACCCTGGCTGGCCACCAGGTGCCCACCAAAGCCACTCTATCACTGCCTTCCTTAGTCGGACAGGGGAAGGAAAATGCAACAAAAAGCTCATGTGTCAAGATAAGGACACGCTGAAGGTTACTCAGAACTGCTTCATATCAACACTGACAGAGAGGAGATCATGAGAGCACATTTACTTAGGGAGGAAAACACTCAGAAGGTACAGAACATACAAACAATGCAGTGGTTAACTGACTACAACAAGAGATTTCTATTCTGCCTTGATACTGTCGATCAGGTAGAGAATTGCCCATCATCAGGAGCAAGTTGAGGAATAAGCAAAAAATTCCCAACAAACCCCAAAATCCACATAATTTCTATACAGCCCCAAACTGCACATTCAAACAGTTGCAAGGTTTGAGGCAGTCTGAGTGAGGAAACACAAGTAACTGCCCTGCCTTCATACCTTGAAGTACACACAAGCCATTAAGAACATCCAGAAAAAGAGACTATTTTGGGTCTATTGTAATGGAACAGCTTAAGCAAGCTGCATCTAAGGGAAGCCCAGAACTTACACTGTTGAAATCCGTTCCCCTTCTATCTCAACATCCAAATTTGAATCCCAGAAATCCTTCAAAGGCCCAGGCAATGCAAAGTTTTTGAAGAATAATGAGTATTACGTACAGAAGGGAGAGCTGGAAGTAAAGACTCACTAAAGACCAGCAAGCATCTTCGTGCTCAACAATAACACAGCAAACTGAGCAAGATGACTTTTGAACAAGTCTGAAGAGCAAACACATATCAAAAGAAGGAGATACTAAAGGACCACAGCAAAAGCATCATTGGACAAACTATTTGAGAAGGAAACAATACATATAAACTTCAGCTTGACATTCATGGAGAGCTGCCAGGATGAACAGCGCTTGTGAGACCTGATCCAACCCATTTGAATGCCCCACACATCAGGGAAAGAGTGAATCAAGAAGGGACAGTGCGTGTCAGCTTTAACACTGAAATCACTGCTATCTGGTTTCACAAAACAAAACATAAACCATGTGATTTAAAACCATCAGCCTTGCACTGCTGCAGCCCACCTAGCAAGGAAACCACCTGGGAGATGTGGAGATCTGCCAGCCACCCAGTGTCTCAGAGCTTGGTCAGCTCCAGCTTTTGGTCACTGAAAAAGTTTGATGGGGAATCAAACAGCTGACAAGCTAAAGCCAAAACAACCACTTCACATCCATCAAGAAAAAGCCAATTCAAGCACTTCACGCTCATCAACTACCACTTCCCTGGCTGCAGCTTTGATTTGTTACTCATCTCCAAAGAAGTTGTGGCTATGGAGAGCAATCACAGCTTACTCAGTCCCTCCCCCTAACCTTGCCTGGCTGTAAGCAGTAACAGCAAAGATTCTATTACCTTTCTTAAGGGAAGCAGAGCTTGCAAAGAGGCTCCATCTCTTGCTTTCCCCCTAGAGACCCAGCAGAGCACCCTGTTAACTTTGAGCACTCCCAGTCATCCTAACCAATCCATGGGGTCATCAAAGCTGTGAGAATGGGCAGTATGACCATACCATACTAATGTTTCTCAAATCTTTGAGCCTGGAGAAGGAAGAAAGCAATGGGTGGAACATCAACAGAATGGGACAAGAGTAAACCCGCATTCAAATCCCTGCTTTTGTTCAACTGCCTGATAGCCAGCAAACACAGAATCTCTTACCTCTTGACCTCAAAGAGCCTCAGAATCCACTTCCTCTCCATATTTGAGCTCTTTTAAGATGCACATATTCAAGGGGGGGTGGAGAGGACAGCAAACCAATGCGTGCAGTGCCAAGTTGCTTTGGCTGTGTGGCTCCCATTAAATACACCACAGCCCACAGTGGCTGCTCTCAGAGACACAGGTGTTGCAGGAGCAGCCAAGAGAGCTGGAGCATGCCAGGAAAAAGAGAGGGAGCAAAGGCCTCAGAAATACCAGCAGCTGCTGAGAGCCCATATAACTTCAAGAGGACACCTGGGCACACCTCCTCCCTGGCAGTCTTTTCACTGAAGCAGATTAGGTTGTATTTAACTTCCTTAGGTCACTGGAGCACTAATTCTTTATAATTGGATTGTGTTGCATGTCACTCAATACCAATCTGGATAATCATTTAATTTTTTTTTAAGAAAATAATCATCTTTTGATAAAAGACCCTAAACCCCTCAGTTAAACTGTTTAAAAAAGCCATTCTTTGCTCATGGAATCATAGAATGGTTAGGGTTGGAAAGGACCTTAAGATCATCAAGTTCCATCACAGAAGGGTTAAGGTCATCTCCATCTCTGGAGATCATCTAGCCCAAGTGCTTCACACACAGCAGGGTCAACGAGAGCAGATTGCCTGGGACTGCACGCAGCCAGGTTTTGAAGATCACCAAGGATGGAGACTCCACAACTCTGTTCAGCCATTCTCACAGTGAAGAAAGCTTTTTCTTACATGTAAACAGTATTTCCTGTGTTTCAGTGCGTGCCCATTGCCTCTTGTCCTTCCACTGGGCACCATTGAGAAGAACCTGGCTCTGTCCTCTTTACTCTTCCCCACAGGTATTTACAATCATTGGTAAGACCCCTCCCTGAGCATTCTGTTCTCCAGGCTGACACCCCCAGGTCTCTCAGCCTCATTAGCTGCAATCCTTTAATTGTCTTAATCATTTTCAGTATGTTAAATAATTTCTTTTAAATTGCCTTGAAAATTTGCATAGTTCTTTTTCCAGTTGGTGTGGTTGAAACAACCATCACCTTCATGGCCTTTGCTGGATTGCATGTTTGTCCCTTACTCTCTAGTTTGATTTTAATAGCTTCTGCCAAGCAGTCATCACCCTCAAGGAAACTATCAAGGCAGCAGGCTGTTCAGGTCAAGAACTTGATTTACAACTGAGGAACAACAAATATTGCTTAGGAGACTGTTATAATGCTTGTACCTATTTTAGTTGCTCCTGACTAGCATACCATAACATAGGGACTATGTAAAAACAGCTGTTTTGAAAGCACTTGCTCTATAAAGGCTAAGCATGCTGAGGCATTCCCATTTGAGTATGTTTCTCCAGGTGGTAATATGCTTTTTGCCAACTTGTGGGCCTGTCATTTCACTTTGTAGCTTGGGCGGGTGCCTTGCATTGCATAGGGAATGTTAGTCATCTGGATTCACCTCCCATTTAGAAATGAGGTCCTACACCTGGATCGGGCAGTCCCAAGCACAGCTACAGACTGGGCAGAAAGTGGTGAGAGCAGCGCTGAGGAGAAGGACTTTGGGGTGTTGGTTGGTGAGAAGCTCAACACAAACTGGCTTCAGTGTGTGTTCGCAGCCCAGAAACCAACCGTGTGCTGAGCTGCATCAAAAGGATCATGTCCAGCAGGTCAAGGGAGATGATTGTCTCCTACTCTGCTCTCATGAGACCGCCCTGCAATCCTGTGTCCGCCTCTGGGGGCAGCAACATGAGAGGGACATGGAGCTGTTGATGAGTCCACAGGAGGCCACAGAGATGCTGCTAGGGCTGGAGCAGCTCTGCTCTGGAGCCAAGCTGAGAGAGCTGGGCTGGTCTTAGAACAGCTCCTGTTGCCTAAAGGTGCCAACAACAAATCTGGAGAGGAACTATTTAGAAGGACATGCAGGGACAGGACAAGGGGGAATGGCTTTAACTTGACAGAGACTGAGATTAGACATAAGGAAGAAATTCTTCCCTGTGAGGGTGCTGAGGGTGCCCAGAGGAGCTGTGGCTGCCCCATCCCTGGCAGTGTTCAAGGCCAGGTTGGATGGGGCTTGGAGCAACATGTTCTAGTGGAAGGTGTCCCTATCCATCGTAGGGGGTTGGATCTGAAGGAGCTTTAAGGTCCCTTCCAGCCCAAACCATTTGGATTCTGGATTCCAGTCCTTCCCCTGCCATTTGCCAGCACCTTATCTGCTTGTCAAAGCAGAATCATTTTCCTGCATGTTTTCTGCAAAATGTGCTACAAAGCTCCTGGCAGCATGGCACAGGGAGTCCTGTTACACCAGCAGTGATGGGGACCTGTCACATTCTGAGTGTTGCTTTAGAAGACACAGCACACCTGGCTAAATACCTTTGGCTCATTTTATGTAGCACTGAGTATATAAAAATACTAGAATCATGGAATTTCTTGACCAGTCTAACAGAGTTTCTGTGAAGTGGCTTTCCTAGAAGATGAACAGAGCCTGTGCCTCTGTTTGCATGGTAAGGCCCATGACGAGAGCATCTATCCAGCCACCAGCCTAGCTGGATCCCACAGGGTACAAATGGAAGGTGGCAGACTGTAAGGCAATACCCCAACAGCTCAGGGGATTTGCCTGTAAGGATTAGTTAAAGGACACCTGTGTAATATGGTCTGTACACTGGGATTACAAATTAATTGAAGAGATGCGGTACACTGATTTCAATGCATCACTGGCAGAGCTGTGATTCTGAGTGCAGAAGGAAGCACAGACCTAGTGCAATTAAGGGCTCTGTATTTACAGGAAAAAAAGATAATCCTTTCAAGTAGTTAGGTTCCCTTCCCTCTCCTCATTTTGCAGTAATTGTTGCGGTCCTAACGCTCTGCTTCACTCTGACAAATCCTAACCTTTGTTTCGTTAAAAGAGAATTTTATTGTATCCATATGGACCTATTTTTCTTTTCCTGTTTTAGAAAGCTTCCAGGTTGTATTTTTATGGAACCAAAATATTTTGCTTTTACAGAGCTATAGAGTTGTCAGCTGTCTTGTAGCAGGGACAATTACTGAAATTAAGCAGTGTTAGAAGAGGAAATGCCTTTCCACAGAAAAGGAAATATTTTTCTCAGCCACCATCTAGTAAATGCTCTGTGTTTCCCCACAGGAAGTCACATCAAGCAAATAACATGGTTCTGGACACAGTGTGCCTTGGAGGGGACAATGAAGTTTCA